TCTAATTATAAATGTAAATACTTTTTTCGATATCTCAGTACAGCATATGAATAAAATATAATGTCTGCAATATTAATCTTGACTCTTTTCTGCATGGCTTATTTTTTTATTTTATTGGCTTAACTATAACAATTGTAAATGGAATACGAATGGAAGTTGTGTAAATTGTTAGCTGATTTCTGTTAGCTGGACTCCTTGAACTTTGAGTTTCATATGTAGTTAAGTTAGGGATAACTCCAAAAGTGGAACAGCTCAAAGGAACTTTTTGCATTCAAGGTATGTATATTTATGTTTTCTTCAAATTCTCTAAACTAAAGGTGAAGAACAATGATGTTTTAAGTGAGTTTATTGCAAGGGGTTTTTAGTTACGCAATCGCCAAACAGTGATTTTGCATATTTAATGAACCAAAGTTAACTCTTTCTCAAAGCGTGTGAATTTATTTGCCCAAAATAAATAATACATTTCTGAAAAGGGCAGTTTCCCAATAGTGCTTGTGCAAAATCCCATAAGATATGAAAGGATGGCAAATGCAGAAATCTGCCACTTTTTACATGGAATGACAAACATTAAAAATCAGTACCCGTCGCTCTTTATTGTGCACAAATGTGTTCAGTTGTTCAATTATCATAAAACCACTATTAATAAACGAGGGAGTGATGTAGCTTTAACAGAAAGTATAATAAGGCTATTTGGATTTAGGGTTTGGATACCAGGATTAAGTAAACATACGCAATTTCGGCCATTTTTCGATTGCGAAAATCGGTCCTCACAGCTGAAACATTTTTTTCCCTTTTTCATAAACAAAAGAGTATTTTTAAAAACTAACCACATAACGTTTCTCACTTCACCATAGTCAACTTATATTCAAAAGTAGAGTGAATTTAAAATTTTGAGCCTTGCCACATATTTCTCATTTTGTTTGATTTTTGTAGACAGTTGCTCTTAAGCTCTTGGTCAACGTTATATCAAGCTGCTGTTATCCGAAACCATGAAAAAATTCTAGATATTTCCCAAAACGAAGGCATTTTTCCAGAAATATGTGTCAAGTATCATCGGTCATGCAGAGCTGAGTTCACTTTGAAACGAGATTTAGAAAAGATCAAGGCTGTTGGAAATGTTGATCATAGCGATGATTCGACTAGAAGGAGCTCGAGAGATGGTCACTCAAGCTCAGTTATACTACCTGACCAATGCATATTTTGCAAGAAATCGAAGTACAAGCCAAACACGAAAACAAGGGAAAAACTGCACAGCGTTCAGGAGTTTCGTGCTGACGAGAAAGTGAAAAATTGTGCTATTTTACATGTTCAGCAATCCAGCAGGCAAAGTGCTGTTGCTAGAGAAATCATTGGAATCTGCTCTAAAGATTTAATGTCCAGTGAAGCAAGATATCATGCCACATGTTATAAAAACTTTGTTCGTATTTCGTATGATACCAAGAATCACGAAGTCAATAGTACAAGCGCAACTGAAAGTAGATGTGCCAAATTGCAACTAGTATACAATGAACTTTATAGTTTTTGCGAAGATCTGATTGCAAATCTACGAGTAATAGAGTTCCGTGTTATTAAAGAAGCTTTTATCAACAAGGCAAGTGAACGCGGAGTCAATATACCCGAGTCAGATAAAAAAAACCTCACTCGAAAGGTCAAAAATATATTCCCAGAGTTGTGTTTTGTTCATTATCAATATAATAAAGTGTTAGTTTATCCTGACACATTGCCAATGGATGAGGTTGTATTGTATAACTTCATGTTTAAGTCAGAGCTACAAGCCCTTAAAGTAGAAGATAAAAGTGAGGACAACGTTATCCGAGTTGCACGACAGTTACATTTCGAAGTTAAAAGTCATCAAGCTCAGATGTCCTGGCCACCAAATGAACATGAGCTGACACCAGAAAAAATCCCTTTATACATCCCACATTTGCTGGACGTGTTTCTTACTGTTCTAATTTCTGGGCATTCCTTGAATCGTGATAAGAGCAAAACGGAAAAAACTGTACGGTTGAAAGAATCCTTTGGTCAAGACATCGTTTTCTGTGTCACGAACGGTGCTATCAAAACCCCCAGTACAGGGGTTTCAGAATGATTTGAAGTAGGCGGTTGTACCAAAAAAGTAGCCGGCTGTGACTGATAGTTAAATATAGAATACGTAAAAGTACAACTATTAACATGTTAGATTTAGATGTCATTTACATTTAGAGGCGGACCATTTGATTTTTGAGAGGGGGTTGGAAGATTCAGTCTGTGCAAGAATTTTTTTTCCACCCAGGGGAATAAGACCGATATTTTTTTCCTGTAAAAGTGCAGCGCAAGATATTTTTTTTCCCAATATATTTCGCGGCAGGATATTTTTTTTGCCTCTCATAATAGCTGCTTTCAGTAACTTAAGGCTTTCATATAGCTATCGTCAGAGACGTTAGCCAGGGTTTTCAGTCAGAGGAGGCCGAGCCTGAATCCCAAGAGGGGCCAAGGAATTTTCACTGTGCTTTATTTTATAAAAAATAAAGTGGGGGAGGTACAGTATATTAATCACCTGTAACCTTGGGGGGTTCGGGGGCATGCTCCCCCGAGAAAATTTTAAAATTGGAACCTCGGAAATGCTATTTCCTACGTTTTCAGCCATGGATTCGTTCAACAACTTTGCTGTACTAAGCCTAAGGAACACTTACTGTCCTTTATTTTAAAAAAGGGAAAATCACAAAATGAGCTTTGATTAATACATAATAAAACAAGATTTCAATAATGCGATTTTTAACTGCCCTCCGAAACAACGTTCCACCAAATATAGCTCTGTAGCTTTTCAATCGTTCATACAAATAGCTTGTTCGGGATCGGGTTGCATCCTCTTCAGAAATTTTTTAAAATCTAGACTCTCTAAACTGGCATTTTCGCATAAGATCATCATATATACAGTACGTTCAACTTGCATCCTATAGATGGGCCTTTGAAGCTTTAATAGTTTGGAGCTATGTTATCAAAAAACGCACACAGACTCAACCATCCAAAAATACTTTTTCTACCATGCATATTAGATATGTATAAATAACTTATAAACTTGTACATATCTTAAGCCCAGATTTTCTCAGGGGGGGGGCAACAATTTTGCCAGGAAACGCTACAGGCTATCGTATGCTATAGACTCCAAAGGTGCCAGAATCCCTGTGATATTGTCCACTGTTCACCCAGTGTTCTTTTAAGCAAATGTGCCTGCTCAAAAATGCAAAATCTTGCAAGCCTGTGGACACAATACTGAAGTGGAGAACATCAGTAGATTTACATGTAGGAATTTTTTTTGAGCGCTTTCTTTTGCATGATATTTTTTTCCTCGATTGTATGCTGCATGATTTTTTTTCTTTTTCCTTGGATTGCAGGAATTTGTTTTTCGAAATCTTCCAACCCCCCCCCTCAAAAATCAAATAGTCCGCCCCTTATACTTGTAAGTGATAATGTGCTACTTGTAGTTTAATTTTTACAGCTGCATGAACAGAATGACAATGTACACTACACTACAGTAATAGTAATTATTTTATGAGTCCGAAATCATTAATCAAATGATGTTATATTTGTGTGGCCTGCATAATGAACTTCACTTCACCACTTCTTCTTTCTTTTGCTATGTTTGGTACTATGTATTATAATTTATCTTATTGATCCAAAATAAGTCATGTTTTGCTTGAATTCAGGGCTAGAATTTTATCACGGCAATTGCTGTAGAGGAAGAACAAAATGCTGTGGATCATTGCGGCAATGACGGTAATTTTTTGCCGTATAGTATAATTTTTAAACTCATGTTCACTGTGCATTACTATTTTGATACTTGAATTCAGATGTTGATCAAATCATCCTTAAATTACTATTTTAGTTTCAGTTTTCTTCGAAAAAAAACCACTAAAGAAATACGTAAACATGTTTCTAGCTTGTCAGCAATTTAAAGTCTGTAACAATAAAATTAAATTTTTATTACAGCAATTTAAAAAAAAAATGCCGTGGAAACTAGCAAAATTGCCGTAGACAGCTGTTACGTTCTACGGCAATTTTTAACGCCATTGCCGTCAATTGATTTCAGGGAAATTCGAGGCCAACTTGAATTCCAATTGGAACATAACAAACATCGTGTTGGTTCGCTTGTACTTTTGTATATAAAATTTTTCCTGTGACCAGACGAAAAGTAGCTGGCGGAACTCCGCTGGCCGCCGGCTTATTCTGAAACCCCTGGTTGTAAAAGGAATTTGCAATAACACAGAAATTCTGAAACTTATTAATAAGTATGGACATGGTATCAGTTATGACTTGGTAGAAGAAATAGAAACCGAGAGTGCATTGAAAGTTATAAGTGATCAAAGGGATAATCATGTCGTTATTCCTGTTGATTTGGAGGAAATGGAGAGAAGTAGTTCAGTGGGGATGATTGCTGATAATATCGACAACTTAGAGTGTACGCTGAGTGGATCTGGAACGGAGAGAAAGTCTGAACTAGACGGGGAACAGAGTGGAGAAGCTTTAGATGACGCATGTACTTACACACCGCCGACAAAAAGGAAATACAAAAGATCTCTACCATCAGATGTCGTGACAAGAGTGATTCCCGAGTACTATGGTGGAAAGCGGATTGGACCAGGGGAGTTACCTCACGTACAAAACCTAGGTGTTCCTAATTTGCGTTATGAAGAGAAGGCGAACGAATTACGGCAGCGCTATCTTGTTTGGCTTGAAGTCAGGAAATTAAAAACACACCCTTTGCTATTGGTACCTGGATGGACTGGTTTCAACATTAAAACCAGAGACCATGTAGTAATTGTGGAAAGCGTTATTAGTTACCTAGACACCATAGATGCCGCTGCTACTGATCTGAGAACTGCTTATGAGGTGTTGTCAAGGGGTTGCGAGATAAAGGATAGATTGCAGTTGAAGGCAGTTGTTTGTGTTTTCGATCAGGCATTTTATGCGAAAGCGATGGAAATATTCTGGAAACACAAATCCTTATTCAAAGGTCTCGTGATAATGATGGGTGGATTCCATCTCCTCATGATGTTGTTGGGCGTCATTGGAACCAGGTTTGGCGATGCTGGTCTCCGGGAACTTGCTGTACAAAGCAAAGTTGTTGCCGAAGGTTCAATTGACAAAGTGCTGATTGGGAAGCAGTATAACAGAGCTGTGCGCCTTCACAAGTTGACATACGAAGCGCTAATGAGACTTATTCTGAAGGAGTTTGAGTCGTCTGTTGAGTTAGTAATGCCTCTGGACCTAGAACAACTGAAGCTAGATCCTAATCAAGAGGAGATTACCAAGGTGCTACATAGTGATACGTTCCTCGAGTGGGAGAAGCAGTTTAATGCATATGTTCATGACATCAAGAAAAGTGGAACTGACTTAGCAAGATTCTGGCTTACATACATCGACCTGTGCGAACTAGTACTCAATTTAATTTACGCCACGCGCACAGGTTCATGGGATCTCTATCTTGTGTGCATCGAAGAAGCCATCAATTGGGCATTTGCGTATGATCGACAAAATTACGCGCGATACCTAGTCCCATTTTTAAATGACATGCGAAGCTTGTCCACCACAATGCCTGAAGTGCATGCCGCATTCAGTAATGGTCAATTTTCGATCCAAATGGGAAAACGGAATCCCTTCGGACGCAACGAGGCGGACAAGACTATTGAGAATACCATAAATCGAGATTGCAAGACAAGCGGTGGATATATTGGTTTCAGCGCTAACTTTGCTGCGACTCAGAGATGGGTGCTTAACGACACAAGGCGTGCTGCATACAGGAAACTCATGCGAGAGCATTTGTCCATCGCAACAAATAAAGCGTATGTCCACAACGAGCTGACGCCAGGAAGAATAAAAGCTGACGCGAGAGATGTCGATAAATTAGCTGACCTCCTGGATGAAATATTTAGCAATCCTTGGAAAACAAACGCCGAGTTCACGAGCTTGTCCACGGGGATTTCTGTGACAACTGAAGTACGTGATGACCTGTTGAAAGCCAGAGAAAGAGGTCAGAAAGCAGCAAAAGAGTTTGTTCTAGTCCGATCTTCTGCGGCCCCAGAGAAAGATTTCTACGATCCAATGAAGAAAGTAAAACTGAAGACGTTTAAGAATCTGAAAACCACCGTTAAAGTTCAATCGAAGGCTAAAGTCATCCCCCTACAGATGGATAGATCTTTGTTCGCTCGCATGGCAATGCTCAGTCAATTCCGTAAAATTGACACGAAGATGGTCTTCACATATCCACTAGACCCCTTCCCTGGTCTCTAGCCGATCCATATGGTTCGCCAAGAAAGACGAACAAAGCAACACTTGCCCAACAACTTGAGAAGAATGTCAAGATCATGGAGCGATATCCTGAGAACGCAACCTCCATCTATGACAGAATGGCACTCCTGCAGAAGTTCAAGACTCCAACTGGCGCAACATTTCAAGTGGTCAGTGAAAAAGTGTTTGAAATGGTAACCAGCACTAACAGCAAACGAATAGATGTGGTGTTTGATAGATATAAGAAAATATCTATCAAGAGTGTTGAAAGATCGAAACGGGCTTCATCAGCTTCTGATGGAATCGGTACAAGAACATTCTTCCAGGCTATAAAGTAAAGTCGTGGAGTAAATTGCTCTGTGTTGCATCAAACAAGGTCGAAATCGTGAAGTTTTTGTTGTTGCAATGGAAGAATCCTGAATTTAGAAGCAAACTAGTTGACAGGACAATGTATGTCACAAGCGAAGATCAGTGCTGGAAGCTTACGTCTAGCACTTGTGAACTGGTGCCAGAGTTGCAGTGCAACCACGAAGAAGCAGATACGCGCATCATTCTCCATGCACAACATGCTAGTGGCAAGTGTGTTGTTCATTGTGACGACACTGATGTTCTCATTATTCTTCTCGCTCACTCCCAATCTCTTGGTGAGTGTTACATCAAGAAAGGAAAAGGTTCACAGTCCAGGATAATCGATTTGTCTCTGATTGTCGATTATTTAAGTAACCAGTTATTTGACTGCATTAGCAAAGAGAACTATCTCAAAGCTCTGATTGGTGTACACGCTCTGACTGGTTGCGATACGGTTTCCGCATTCTGTGGAAAAGGAAAATGGAAAGCAATTCAGCTTCTTCAGAAAAAGAAAGAATACCTCCATGTTATGGCGCGTCTCGGAGAAACATGGGATTTGTCTGAAGAAGTCTTCCGAGCAACAGAAGCTTTTGTGTGTAATCTTTATGGACATCAAGTTGACAGTGTAGATCTGCTACGATATAAACTTTACTGCGTTAAAGGTGGCAAAGTAGAACCTGAGGCTCTACCTCCATGCCAATCATCCCTGCGCCTTCATGTTGAACGATCCAACTACCAAGCAGCTATCTGGAGATGTGCTTTGTCTCCCTGTCCAGACATACCATCTCCACATGAACACGGCTGGAACGTAGACAATGACGTTATTAACTTCGTATGGCTAGGTTCAAAACCCGCTCCAGAAGAAGTATTAGAACTATTGTCGTGTTCATGCAAGCGGGCATGCTCTCTCCAGTCCTGCTGCTGTCTAAAATCTGGACTGAAGTGCACAGATATGTGTTCTCTGCAGTGCGACAACATGGCTGTTATAGATGAAAACATAACTCCAGACGAAAGTGATGATGAAGATGGAGACTGACATTTTCAATGCGAGTAATGGAACATATTGTAAATTTTTAGATTACAGCCAACTCAAAAAAGGTTGTCCTTTGAAAAAGCCTTAAACTCTAACGCCCGTATTCTAAAAGGTGACTCACACTCAATGAGTGGAGGTTCAATCTGAGCTGATCTTGGGTGTCAATGCCGTTTTTGAATAGCTGGAAGGTGAGTAGTCACATTGTATGGTACGACACTAACCCTCCAGCTATTCAAAAACAGCATTGACAATCAAGGGAAGCTCAGATTGAACCTCCACTCATTGAGTGTGAGTGAGCTTTTAGAATACGGGGGTAAACCTTAAACCTTAAACTCTAAGCGCACAAAACTTAATGGAAGCACAAGTTTCAAGCTTAGCAGTTGAATATTGCAGCTATTTGTGAATGAATTGTTCTCGTAAGGATATATTTACCATGTCTCTAAGAAATGGGCCACATATATAATTTCTAAACTGATTAAATGATGCCCCCTTTATGCTTTGCACACTTTGAGTTTAAGATTTAAGGTTTACAGTTTAAGGTTTTTCAAAGAACAACCTTTTTTGAATTAGCTGTATATTGTCAACAATTGTCAAATGTTTACTATTACTATCAAAACTATGCTGTCATCCGATAATGTTATGAAACACGAAAATACTAACAGTAAACAGAGGGAAAATCTATTTACAAATTATTGGGAGACTGGCACCGAGTATACAAAATAGCCGTTTTTGTTAAATGTAAGCATGATCTAGAGGTTGTTAAGGCATCATCAATTGATAATATATGTATATATTTAGAGAAACAACACACAGATTGCCTCTGAAATTATTTTAATCAACTTTTACAACAGAAAAACCATGTTTATCCAACATAATTAACTGCCACACTGGTTTAGTTTAACAAGAGCAATCGCCACATAATGACTGCGCCCAAGACCCAAAGTTTCGACACTCCAGTCTAGTGTCCTCATCAGGGGTGATCTGATGTTGAAACTTGGAACCTAATTATGCTCAAAAAGCAGTTAAATTAAAAAATATTTCTGTTTGCAAAATTGTGCATTTTTAAAGCTTGTCCATAAAAACAAAATGGCGGCGAGAAAGAAACATAGCCACCTTTCTTTAAGTGTCGATTTCTGAGGGAAAGCTACTGATCCAGACTTGCTATCATACATTTTTGGAAAGCGTATTAGACAACAATTAAATTGACATATGTTTTGTTTGTTCCCCTTAGTTGAGCCATCATACCCACTCAGCTGATAGACTATAACAGCTTGACTTGTTTTTGCCATATTCGTATACTTCTCATCAATATGCACATCAAAGTCATCGAACACTTCAGAACACATGTATGTAATGTCTATTGCATGCTGCACATTAAAAACATACAGATTGTGCAAAACATACACAATATCAAATATGTATTTAGCCTTCGACAGGATAGACTTCTTTAACTCATTCTCATCCGGTCGAAAAGTAGCAATTTCGAGTGGTGTTGTTTCAAATGCTTATATCTCTCAAATTATACATCGCACGGAAACAGAAAGTGCATCGTTCGAAAGAGGAGGACTTCTGCTTTCCAACGATACCAATTTCAATTTCATCCGGAGCTTGGTTAACGATTTACTCGCATAAATTTGCATAAATTATGATATAAAAAAATGTTGCAATTATGCATAAATGTATTTAGCGGTTCAAATTTCAAATATGTCAAAAAAATTTATGAGTATGACTGAAAGACACGGTTATGATCTACAACTACCCGAAGTTTCATGCATGTAGCATAAATAGAAATATTTTTATTGAATTTTTATATAAACTAGGTAGTGGAGTAAAATTTACATTTTGTGCTCACATGAAACAAATACCTTTATCAAAGGTCCTTTTTATTGCTGCAACATGTTATCAATACAAATTTCCAATATTTCTTACTCTCCAAAGATAGTATGGCACCAAAATAAGTCTGTGATACCCACAAAAGAACACTCAAATCATGATTAGCAAAATGTCTTTATTTCTACAATTACTACATACATTCTTAGATAATCATTACACCATTGACTTTAGTTATTAGTGGCATAACCAGCCTCAAAATTTGGTCATGCTATTCAAATTTGAAATAATCACTACTCATTTGTTTAGAAATTGATTGTTTTCACAATCTAGAACATGAAAATATTTGCAAATAGCATGACCAAGTGTTGTTGGGCTGGCATCATCATAATTAGTAGTTATAAAAAAGTAATGTTTTCCAAGGCAGTAATGTTTGCTAAAGCAGTAATGTTTGCCAAAGCACATAATTGGATTATGTGGTGAAAATATTTCCTTTATATTGTACTACAAAAGACCTAAGACTGTAACCAAACTGATATCAGATCACCACGTCATACCCAAATCTGTTGCGATGAATATCTGGACTTCTTCCTGTATAAATTTCAAAGTCGCAATATAACCATTAGGATTGTCTGCAGCAACCCACAGATTTATTCCCCACATAGTAGGTCATCTAGCTTTCATGAACTGCCTAACCCCCAACCTATTTCTTGATTTGACAGTGTGTTTGTCTGCAACAACAATATTCTGTGACGGCTGGTACAGTTGTTGATGCAGTTTATTGCTGTAGTCTTTAGTACAGGATCTACCATATTCACAAACGCCATAAGCGCTTTGTACCTAACCCGAGAAATTATGTCTATTGCCCACAGACCATGATATAAGGTTTTTACACTCCAATAATTTTCAATCTCACTGTCGACCTTTAGCAAACCTGCATATTATACTAAAAGGCAATCAGCATTTTTTATTAGTATATGGGGATAACTTTTGAGTTATTTGTATGTGGGCATATGTATTGGTATGGCCAGGAAACTACCTCCTGAAGCATTCCCTTAGTAAAAAAGAGTCAAATGAACTCAAGCTCACAGTTCATTGAGCCGAATGAACTCAAGCTCACAGTTGATCGAAATGGATCCTGGACATGTCAGTGAGGAGCAAAATCTGGGAGAACATTCCTGGTGTCAGGATCATCATATCCGTCATGTACTATGGGGCCTAGTGGGGATGCTAGACAGGTAGCTTTCGAAACCTTAGGTCCTAATGGCTGGGCTTCCCTCTACCTCTACTCATCCCCCTACCTTCCCTCTGGGTTGGTGAGTGGGGTTCTCATGACTCATCAGAACTCTACTTCCCTGAGGCTATGAAACAGGAACAGCAGATAGGAACAGGATCAATATATTCATCAGTGCGAATAAAAACTTTTATAGACATGGTGCCATATAAAATTATAATAAGAGCCAACTAGTAAGATATAAGTATGAATACTTGGCTATTATGTATGTAACAAACAACCAAACATGTGCTCAAGGCTCATTTTACTTCGCCTAGGAATCAGAGATTTTTATGCCTAAAACACCATAAATTTTCGTCAACAATATAAATAAATACCATTTATATTTGTCAATTTCAGTATGAAACGATTATTTCAACACAAAAAAGCGATATGAGGACATACTTGGTCGTACTAGTGAAGCTATACCAAATACAAATAAATTTACAACGCCATGGCAACGGCAAAACATTGAAATTGTCTAGAAATGATACAAATACTTGCCTTGAAACTCCAGACACGACTCCCAATGCCAGGTTGAGATACTTGTCTTCATACGAAGACATTCCATCATTACTAGCACTATCAGTTTGCAAAATAAAGCCAAAAACGTCTTCAGAATGCGATTCAAACAAAACTACAACACAATACATTTCAACGCTCGTGCGTTCCCGTGCGCGATAATCAGGAAAATTGCTCTAAAAGATTTGTTTTTCTGCCTAAGCCAATCAAAATCCGTATCTAGGGTAAACAAACACTCCGGAAGTGATTCCTGCAGTCTTTTACCAGGAAACTGTAATGCTTTACCAAGAATTTGGCGTCCGAAGTTGGCCGAACACTTTCCGATCACGAGAATTGCCATAATAGGCTTAGATTATTTTGCAATTTCCCGAGACTGCTCCGAGCTATAGAATGGAAGATGGCGATTCTTTTGGTATATTTGTTATTATTATACGTTAAAAAGAAGCAAAAAGACGAGCATTTGAATCAGGCGGAACATTCAAAATGCAACTGCAAAATTGATAATGTGTCATTTGCATAAATTTCACCGCATTGATCATTTCAAGGTAAGAAATTCGCTTGAAATTGAGCGAGAAACAATAAAATTATATGAATATTTCTGAATATATAGTATCGATCAAGCGGAATTTTTTGGTGGTATTTTCGTATGTCTACTGCAAATACTCGCGAAGTTCTTTAATATTTAATCTTCCCGTCATATACGTCGGAAATTAATATTGGCGGATCGAATTGAGTTAAAACCCCCTCTCTGCGCATATTAGAATGCTGCTTCGCTCGCTTGCTTCAGGATCGCTCGTTACGCAGCAATAAAGAAGGGAATCCTTGATTATATAGCTTCAAGTTGAGAACCATCGGAAAATTGTCAATGTTGTTGGAATCTTTGTGGTGAAGCATCAGAAAAGGTGATACGGAAATCAGGAAAAGTGCTATGAAAGCAATTTTGATGTCTGGAAAGTTTTTTTTTACCAAAAAAGGTGTCGATGGGGGGAGGAGGGGTCGGAGAGATTTAAAATGTTGTGGTCCGGAAAATTTTTTTGGCCCCACCTCGGTTTTTGCTGGCCCCGCCTGACCAAAAATCCTGGCTACGCCTCTGACAAGACAGTATAAAATTTCAGTGTATCTTTAATATTGATTCCCTTTTTCATTATATTGAATTTTTTAAATAAAAAAGAAAGCAAAGTTATTTGCATGTGAGAATTTAAAATCATTTTATTGCAAACTCAAAGTTTATCAATAATAGTCTAAGAGCTGAATCCCAATAAATTATGCATTGCACAACCCACCTTACAGAAAAGGTTTGACACTTGATTCTTATAGAACAATATATGCTTTTTAACATGAGATACTTTGTACTATCAATTTGTGGTATAGGTGTCGAGATATCGGGGGTTTTTAGCCCCAATATGGCGGAATAACATCAGAGCGAGGCTACGTACCGCGAGGCCCATAGATTGGTTGGCTTTTAACCAAATCTCACGAAAAAGCTCTCGTATGAATGCGCTTTCACGGGGCTTTCGAAAAAGTGAGCAAGTAATCATTGTGTCACGTGACAAATCATGTGATCTAAAAAATACGGATTTTTGGTCTGAATTTGCTGAAAAACCCTTGAAAACGCATCCTTTCACAAAAAATAACCCTCAAAATATATTTATCAAGCCATTTTAACATGCTAAGACGAATAAAAATCCAATTCAAATTAGAAAATGATAAAATATTGTTAATATAAAGGTTCAGCCACCCTATATGAAGTATATAACGGTTAGATCGCAATCTCTAACAGAATAACAAGGAGGGTAATAGTAACGTACCAACGTTATTGTTCAGAAAACTTAAATATGCTTAAAGGCAGTTCAATCCATCTTCATCAAAATAGCCAAGAAAATTTTAAATGTCAGGATCGTCATTTTCACTCTCTAGAACACTGGAGTCGACAACATCATTAACGGGGTTTGAACAGCTTTCATGATCAACCATGCACGCACATGCTTCTGTACAAGGAAGGTTACTTTACTTGCATGAACAATTGCGTAAACATTTCGACTTCTCGCAGCCACAGGTTGTTAACTCCGCAATTCCTTCTGGCGCCGAATTTTTCGTCATAAGGACTGGCAATAGTACATCATCTTCCAATTTCCACCCAAGTCCGTCCGGTGAAGGAAGGTTCTGCATTGGACAAAGAGCTGTCTTCCAGATATATGTCTGGAAGTTGGCTCTTCTAATGTGATGTGATAGACTGTCAGATGTGGGAGGCAGATTGTCGCTTGTCTTGTTCTTCTGACAGAAAAGGAAATGCCGTGCATCATCAGTTTTAGCAATTTTTTTGGCAGTAGTACCTGAAAAAGCACTTGTTGTATCACATCCTGTCCATGCATGGTATGCTGGCAAGGCTTTCGAGAGCAAAAGACCAAGGGAGGATTGTAATGAATGAATGAATTGGAATGAATCTCGCTTTGTCTTTTAGTCCTGTCTGGAACCATAGCTCACGGCATCTGATATTCTGAAAATGAACAACACATAACACCGCTACATCTGTATCAGGGGACTGAACAACAACTCTTTGATGAGTGTTTGAAGCATGTTTGGCGTGCAGTAGAAGTCTTGTGTCTGCTTCGTCCTGGTCGGAAAACAAAGATGAAACACTGGATGAATTTCCGCGGATACACGAAACCGTTTCTCTGCCATCTTTGAATCCTCCTGCTATGAAAACATTCTGCCGTGGGTGCAATTGTGTCTTCAAAATGGTAAGTAGAGACTCACATAAGAATGTAGCTAAATTCTGCTTATTCTTTGGATTTGATATGAATTTATTCCACTGCTTGGGAACTGGCGTATTTTGATTGTGAATTTTAATCTCCATGGACAAACTTTCTCCTCTTTCTTGGCGCTCTGCTGCTTTGATAGACATGGCACGGTACTGGTCAAACACGAGGTCTAAGCGGCTACAGTTGTTCTGACTTAATACCCGAGTTATAATGTCGAAGTATTTACCTGCCATCTCCCCAAAAGTTGCTGCTCCTGCTGACTTAACCATTTGAATCAATGCCATGGCATCGATGATAACAGCTGTTCGCAGTTCCAATACAGGTAATCTAGAAATGGAGTCCACATTTCTCTCCAAAATCGGCATCAAGCTCTTGGCTGTCTTTCGCATAGTCCCATCTGGATGTACAAGGGAGACTGGAACACAGGACAATTCGTAGCTTAGGATCTCTTTAAGGTTGATATCTCTTGTTTTCGCAACTACGAGCAGTCGTCCGAAGAGCTCACGGTCAGCATTCAAAGTTACGACTTTTCCACGAGTCCCTTTTAGAGATATCGTTCGCGTAGTTACTTTAAAAGTGTCAATCTTCAGCTTCTTAAGAGGGTCCCAGAAACAAACTTTATTAGTATCAAGCCTTGCGTTGATGAAGTCGTGCATACTAGTTGTTCCAATCTGAAACGCATTTACCAAGCGATCTGCAACTTCGTTAGGTACAACTAATCCTGTTGCAATATTGCTAAGCGGAGTGTGGTCTGTGTTGCCCTCGTCTTCAGTTACAAATGGGTTATTTGCTAAGCCAGTGGTAAAACATGAAACAAGCCGCTGGACATCCTTCTTATCTCGCTCTATACGCATAACACTAGTTTCCTTGTGTGTTCCTATCTTGTCATTCTCCACGCGGCACATTTCTTTAAGTGATCTTGTAATGGCTGCACGTTCATGACTTGTCAACAACCACCGATCAACTGCACCATCCTGTTGGGTTATGCCAACCAAACCTCCTTTTGATTTTGAGTCGCAGTTAATTGATTGCTCAAGTGCCATGTCAGACCAAACTTGACCAAAAGGTTGTTGTGAGCGACTAATACTATGGTTACCAGCTATGAATTCAGAATACACTTCTGGGTGCTGCTCCTGTAGTGAATGCATGTCTGCCAAGTATATGGGGAGCCATCTTGCATAATTCACTCTATCCATGGCTTAGAAATAGGGTAGCATCTTAGCAGTGGAAGACAAGTGTAAGTTGCCAGTTCGCTCAGCTTTGATAAACTGAAGCAGAAAGGACACCATTGACATGTATTCACTCCAAAATGCAAAAAGGTGTAATTTGACTTTTCCTTCATTTTCAAATTCTTTGAATAGACGCACCAGTGCACTTAAGCCATCTTTTAGCAAATGCCAGTTTTCTTTAAGGTATTCTTCCTTATTGTCGGAATCTTTGCATTGGTTGAGTAACTCGAGGGCTTTCGTCTTTGAAATTTCATCTAAGCCTTGCGAGCTTTCTTCAAGCCAACTTGCAAACGTTTTCCACATTAGTCGAAACAGAGCTTCGAAGCAAAGTTTGTGGGCTCGTACTCCACGATTGTATGACTTTCCTGCTACCAATCCGGTGGTAGTTCCAGGCGCATACACTCCTGATTCAATAAGAAGATCTTCCAAACCAGAGTTTGAATACATCTTTCCAAGGAGCGAAAGATAGTTTAAAGCTATGTGAAACCCTCCTAAGCGAACTACGACATTCTTGAACTCACCCGGGTACCTCATTTGAAGCTGCTTTGCCTTAACGTAAATTGCTAAGTCAAACGTTACTACAGATTCGGACTGTCCAAGAGCATTTGCCATCTTCAACGAGAGTTTCATGACCGTGTTGATTGTACTGTACTCGTTTGCATCTGCCTGGATCATAGGAAGGTAGCCAATGGAAGTAGGCGTTGAAGGATCCGAGAATCTGAGGGACTGAAATCCACTCCAACCTGGAATCTTCTGAGCATCAACCGTTTGATAATTTTCTTCAAACATAGTATTGGAACACATGCGTAGGATTAGCCATACCAAGTCGTCTTGACAAGCTGAAAGGAAATTATCATTTGGTTGTAGCCAACTTGCATTTGTTATCTTATTAACGTAATTCGTAACGGCTGGACGTCTTCCTCCAATATTGATATCCTCTACCGTCACTATAGGCCTTGACGAATCTAAGGACCTTTTCCGCTCTGAGTGATCCACGTAGATTTCCATGGGTGGCGTTGCGGGAGCATGTTGTTTCCTTTGGAAAGCAACGAAGGTCGTCACATGGGTAGTGTTCTTTCCATCGATGGTTTCCTCGTTGAAATGATTATTATCTGCTGCCATATGGCCAAACACACCAGGTGATATGTTTGACGGAATGATAACACCTCCATTCAACTCTGATCTTGCGATTGTTTCATCAGCGAGGGCTGTTTCCACAATTTCAGTTTGTTCATATGAGCAACAATGTCCCATTCGATTTAGCAGAGTTATGAGCTGCTTCGACCTTGTTAGATGTTTAATAGTTATACCTAACGATACATGCTTTGGAAGCTTCACTCTGGCGTTACTTGCAGCGTGTACGACGTCTTGGCATATCATTAGTATCTTCCTTTCATGTGAGACATTTGAAGATTTAGGGCTTTGATCAGCAGTGTACACCTCTATTATTATTAGTATTACGTAGTATTTTGAGGGTTATTTTTTGTGAAAGGATGCGTTTTCAAGGGTTTTTCAGCAAATTCAGACCAAAAATCCGTATTTTTTAGATCACGTGATTTGTCACGTGACACAATGATTACTTGCTCACATTTGTTCGAAAAGCCCCGTGAAAGTGCATTCATACGAGAGCTTTTTCGTGAGATTTGGTTAAAAGCCAACCAATCTGTGGCCCTTGCGGTACATAGCCTCGCTCCGATGTTATTTCGCCATATTGTGGCTAAAAACCGCCGATATCTCGACACCTATACCACAAATTGATACAAATATAAATAATAGTACAAAGTATCTCATGTTAAAACGCATATATTATTCTATAGGAATCAAGTGTCAAACCTTTTCTGTAAGGTGGGTTGTGCAAACTCCTTAAATAAGGCCGTTTCTGAAAATAGCTCCCAGACTATAAAGCCATTGAATTAAAGGCAGTTAATTTAGTTTTATAAAGAGCACTTTACTTTAATTGAAGCTTATATTACGTATATAATGTACCATTCGCACTTTTAACAATTTTAAAGCTTCAGTTACATTTGCGGCAAAAAAATCGGAAGCATTGCTTATATATTATATCAAAATCCTAGGAAAAGTTGGTCAAAACATCACGACACCCCCCCCCCCACACACAATTTGGATGTCTTCGCGATGTCCCTGGCAGTGATTTTCTGTGGAAATGTAGTTTTTTCCTGTAGAGATGATGTGTTTTTCCGTAGAAATTTGATGCTGTTCCGTAGAACGTGTTATCTATTTCCGTGGAAATGTGATACTTTTCCATAGAAATAATAAAGTGTCATTCCCTAGAAAATCATCGCTTCGCCGTAGAAAAAACCATAGCTTCGCCGTAGAAAAAACCAGCTCTTCCATAGAAACTTAAAACCAATGCGCGTGCATGTGGTTGTGTTGTCATCCCCAGTTTCCCCAACGAGTTCAAAATGTTTTGCCAAAGCTGTGGAACTAAACTCTTGGAGAAAGCGAAATAGTGCCACAATTGTGGCATGTGTTCGTCATCACAAACTGGTATGAATTCAATAATATGTAAATTTATGTAAATATTTACAGTGCTAGTCAGTATATAGTCAATAGTGTGGTTTTAATTTTTGAACTCAATTCCTACATATAAACTAGTCTATGGAACTTTCCATATATAGAAACAATGATATTAATGATTATTATATAGTAGAGAGTGATACTGAGAAATACACATCAGGGTTGCCAGATTGCTGAATAAATAAGCCAAACATTGTTATAAACGGCCCTTTGATGTCTTTGTTTCGAACAATGAAAACAAAAGATTATGATAATAATATTTGGCTTATTTATTCAGCAATCTGGCAACCCTGATACACATCTTCATAGTGAAGATATCGATCACATGACTTTCAGTATTTATACAATTTTTTGCTTGGGACTATATAATAAATTTCATCTTCTCGTGTTAAAAACATTATTTTAATCACTCGCTGTGCTCGTTCATAAAATATTGTTTTCACCACTCGAAGTCATATCTTTGTGCCACCATGTAAGTCATGTAATATCCTCTATATATTTACTACAAAACACTGAGAGAAAATTGGTTAAGTTTTATACAGCCAATTCAAAAAAGGTTGTTCTTTGCAAACCTTAATTTAAACTCTAAACCTAGAAATCCTTTACAAACCTTCAACTCTAAGTAGGCAAAGCTTAATGGGAGCACAGGTTTCATGCAAGTAAGATTTGTATTAAATTAAAGCAGATATTTATGTCTCAATCAATTCCATGGTTGCCCATCCTCCCCCCCCCCCTCCTGGGCATTTGTCGGGCATTCTCAACTATACTTGTTCCCAGGGTCGGGCATTTGCTTTTTGCAGGTTAACCCAGTGGTGGGGAATTTGCTGCAGGCTAAAAAGTCAAATATTTGTCGCTTGTTTTGCCATTTAGCTGTATTAGTGTATTTTAGTAAGCACGTGCATGTGTATTGCGAATTAGTCATGGCGGACATACACACTTTAGACTTTTTTCTTGTCCATACATACTGTTGATACCTTGACTTACTTCCACACTTTGATATTGTTATATAAAGTTTTGAGACTTCAATATTATATAAAGTTTTGAGACTTCAATATTCACGAAATGGCTACAGTATCGATTTGGACCCCATAGTGGGGCATTTGCAACATTTTTTTTGCCAAAATGACAAATGCCTGACAAACGCCCGGGGGGGGATAGGCACCCATGGAATTGATTGAGACATTACCATGTCTCAAAGAATGCCGCCCATACTCTGATTTCTAAACTGATTAAATGATGCTCCCATTATGCTTAGAGTTGAAGGTTTATGGTTTATGATTTGCACAGGGCAATGTTTTTTGAATTAGCTGTATATATAGCTCGACCAGAGAGGACAGACCATGTATTAAAACATACAAGAATATTGTTGGCACATATATACAGTAGTTGTTTTACCTCAAACGTTTGCTACAACAGCTTGCTTCATCCAAGACAAATCCAGTGATGAAACAACTTTTGGTAACACAGCTAGCTATTTTGTTCAGGAAATGCTACCGCAAATAGTATAGTTTTTCGTTCAAAACTGACTGTATGCAGTATTTGATCTCAAAATTTCATATGATTGAGTCTCAGAATAGTATTTTAACTCTGCAGATACTGGTACTTCTAAACCTTCATCAAGCAAAACTTCTGAAACAAAACCTCTGTCATTTGAGGATTATCGTAAAATGAAAGAGGCAGACCGGTCATCAATATTTAAGCCAAAAAATGGTGGAAAACGTGCGAAACTCTCTCGAGAGGTAAAAATCCAGAAAGATTCACATATAGTGCTGTGCACAGAGGACATGGTTTTATCCATATAAGCGTATTTGGCCAGATACAGAATCAATTGCCAAAACATTTTACTTCAGACAAAATAAATTATATTTAAACAAAAAGATGTACATGGTATGGTAGATAATAAATTAATTAACCCATCAAGTTGCATTGCTTCCCAGTGTGCCCTACTTTATTATTTCACTTGATCTGCCTATCGCCAAATTATTTTACTTGACAAGGGGAGAGTGCTGAATGACATTCATTGGGTTAAAATGATATATTATTACATTTCAGGTCACTAGTGATTGCAGTAATGCGATATATGTTGGCAATGATGGACCAATTGATTTCAGGCCTTATGCTCTTTGGAGTGCTGGAGCAAATCAAACATTCAAGAGAGGTCATGGCATCAGTACTTACATTGGAAGGTGCTGCCAACTTCCAACTAACTTCCAACATGATGCTGGATAACCTGACTATGGAGTTTAGTCCAGAAGGCAGCAACAAAAAAGCTCCAGAAATAAACATCCACAAATATTTCTGTGACTATGTGCAAGAGTTGGAAACAAGAGAAGGTATTAAAGAAGGTTACAAAATTATAGTTTTATGTTTGAAGATACTTTATTGTTCAGTAGACTGAGACAATGTAGTAGGTCACAATGTAGTAGGTTTACTCTCTGGGTCTTCTCTGTGTGGAAACACAATGTACATGTACACATTTATTATTGCATTCATAAACACACATGGTGTTTCCCACAAACCAAAAATTTTCTTTAACTTAAATAGACCTCATGTATTATGACGTTTCTTTGCAGTGCAAGACTACAACTACCAGACTTCATAATACTTTGCGAGTATTTGCTCACTGTTTCTACTGGACTATTGGGATTCTCTCAAAGCATTATGATGACATAATGCACAACAAGGTCTATTGTCATTTACTAACATCGATAATTTTTCTAGATGTGATGTGAACAAGGCATTACCAAAACTGTACAAATTTATTACTGGAAGCAAGTCTGTAACCCCACTTGGTGCTGAAAGTCACATTCTGAAATTTAAACATGGTTGCCCTGCACAATGTAAGTATCGCCCAACAGCTGCAACTTGTGACCCCAGTATCCGATTTCCAATTCACTACAGCGACAGTAATGATTTAGAGCAGGCAATGGATACCACCCTGGAAGAATATTTTGGATTTGGTTTTGTTTAAGCCTGCACTACTGTAATTAAATGAGGCCAAGCATGAGCAACTCTATAAAAGTAGGTTTGCGAGCTGCATCTTGTTGTTTACGATTCATATTCAGGTCTATGAAAATTATTGTGGCACGTACCACAATTCCTCTTCATTCAGTTTTTGGCAAAAGTTGAAATGTGACCACTTTATGCATGCGCTTATCTTTCTGTACGGTACACGACAGATCGCAGCATGTAAACATACCTTAATCAAAACGGAGGTAGATATTAACCGAAATCCGAAATATTTATGGTATTATGCTCAGCTTCATTGGATACTATTCTAATTTTAACTATATATTTGTTTATTATCATACAACTAATTGTTTGACATTGTTTATTGGTTACGTTGTGTGCATTACGTGGACACATTGCTACATACTCCATCCACATTTGAAAAACATTTTTATGCCAGAAATAACAGTACAAAGGCTATGATACATGAAATGGATTCAGTAATTTGCATAATACAAATTCTGCAGTTATAACTGAACAGAAAAATGGCAAAAATATTATCTATTTAATAATTGTTGCTCTATAGCAAAAGCTTATCAACTTACTCTGTCAGACTTGTAGCCAGGCTTTCTCCTGTACACTCCTAACTTGCTGGAGGGAAAAGAACACATAGGAGAATTACTGGGTACAAGGTAGCTTACTCTGTATCAATACATTTTAAGGTCTACAAAAATAAATGTAATACTTATACATATCCCATTAGAACATCAAACATGTGAATAGCCTCATTATGATCTGATGGATATTGCATTTCATGGAACTCCAATAAGTATGGAACTCCAATAATCGATAATTTTTCTAGATGTGATGTGAACAAGGCATTACCAAAACTGTACAAATTTATTACTGGAAGCAAGTCTGTAACCCCATTTGGTGCTGAAAGTCACATTCTGAAATTTAAACATGGTTGCCCTGCACAATGTAAGTATCGCCCAACAGCTGCAACTTGTGACCCCAGTATCCGATTTCCAATTCACTACAGCGATAGTAACGATTTAGAGCAGGCAATGGATACCACCCTGGAAGAATATTTTGGATTTGGTTTTGTTTAAGCCTGTACTACTGTAATTAAATGAGGCCAAGCATGAGCAACTCTATAAAAGTAGGTTTGCGAGCTGCATCTTGTTGTTTACAATTCCTCTTCAGGTCTATGAAAATTATTGTGGCACGTACCACAATTCCTCTTCATTTAGTTTTTGGCAAAAGTTGAAATGTGACCACTTTATGCATGAGCTTATCTTTCTGTACGGTACACGACAGATCGCAGCATGTAAACATACCTTAATCAAAACGGAGGTAGATATTAACCGAAATATTTATGGTATTATGCTCAGCTTCATTGGATACTATTCTAATTTTAACTATATATTTGTTTATTATCATACAACTAATTGTTTGACATTGTTTATTG